TCCTCATTTCAATCCTCAGCTGCAAATATTTTCCTTTATTGGTACATTTCAGTATTGTCAACTGCCAGGGAAATCAGGAGATTCAGGCAGTTTAAATGAGTATAAAGATTTATTGTAAGCTTAAGCTCTCTACAAGAATCTGAACTACTAACGGTCAAGAGGAATTTGACTAACGGTTGACTAACGGTCAAGAGGAGTTAAGAATAGAAAGGAATTCAAGATTGGCTGGACTTCAATCACAAAAGGACTCATGACTGATGACACATATAACCTTTCTCTTGGGTCATCTCCTACAAGTAATTAGCGAACTTTGAGATTCTAATATGTCCACTCTTTGGTTACCCAAGTTCTTTATAAGCAACAGGGGTGCATAGCAAGTTGAATCTTCTCTCTAAAAAGTACTTCAGAGCAAACAAAAAGATGAAAACATCCCAGCTGTATCTGTCCCCAGGATTGTACGATTTGGACAATGAATCTCAAGCACCAAACTTCCATAGCCCGCTTCATAAAAGGAAGCTGGAAATGACTAGATTATTTTGTTAAATTTAACGTCAACACAGTAGACAACTAACTCCTGAGATATCTTTATTTTCAGCATGAGATTTGAGGAAAACGTTTAGAGAGAACTGTCAAACAGGAAGAAAGGCACATGAAAATAGACATATTGAATGAATTGAAGAAACTAGAATTAAGACAAAAACAGAACCCACTTTGGATTTAGACTAAAAGCTGGAAACTGGGTAAACAACTGGACTTAACAGATGAAATTGTACCAACGTGTTGTGAGGATAAAGTTTGCTAATTTAAAAAAAATTGAAACAGGTAATAAACTAGATAAGATGCTGGTTTAGTAACTGCAAAAAGAATAAGAGCAAATATTATTATTATTGTTGTTGTTGTTGTTCACACAGTCAGTCAGATGTTTAGATTCTTTTTTATCCATCTTTCAAGTCTTTATTAGTATGATGATGCACACAACAATCTGAAATTCCAAATTCAAGACAAATTGTCTTGAAATAAACCTCTGCCTCCATTTCTCTGGAGCACTTATAAACTATCAATATCCCTATAGGAATATAATGCATAGTGAATAGTCATCAGGTTTTTTTTCCAGTCCAAACTGTCCAGTTCAGCTTGTGTCCTGTTAATAATTCCAGCACTGTTTTGTATCATGCCAGATATTGACAACTTGGATGTTATTTCCGACATTCACTTTTGTCTTTAGCAATGTTCTCACTCTTCATGTACTCAAAGATGTATCTTTGCTAATCAATTTTTTAACTTGTCCATGCTTGATATTATCGAACTATGAAATGTCCAGATAATTGTAGGTTTTGTCCTGATGGCGCCTGTTGGTTTGGTCATTGGCATTTCAATTCCATTACTGTTTGTGATTTCACACTGATTTATTGCTACTGTAGCAAATTTCTCTAGGCCAAATTCCATTGCTATATCTGTGCTAAAAATTCTCCCAGTGCTTGTCAATGATTGGATTTCAATTTTAGATTTTCCAAAAAGCTTCAGATTATACATATAAAGCAAATGTGAGATTTTATAAGCATTTAACAAATTAACTTTTGTTTTCTTCACAATCACTGAAAGTATAATCACAGCAAAAGCAATTACAAATAATAAGGGTGGTAATGAGTCACCTGGTAGATGCCTCTCCTTAATGTTGATAAGCCCATATTTTTCATTTCCAGCCAGCAATTCTGTCTTCCACTGCTTCCAGTTTAATGTTTTTATTGACACCAGTTGTTTCCAAATATTTGATGACTGAACTACGCGGTAATGAATCAAACACATTGGTACAATTGCCTCTAGTCTGATTGAAATAGCTGATTTTATTTAAATTGGATGATTTGTGCCTCATAGCATTCAATTTTCCAAGCTATTGCTGTTATTTGTTGGTTTGTGATTTATAAAGCTTCTTCAATAACCCATGTCTAGATTTGTCTACTAAAGTAAAGTTATGAAAGTAAAATGACTTACAATAGGTTACATTGATAACTACATATTTTGGGATGCTCCGTGTAAAATTTCTTTAGAAGCAAAGCTGCATATGGATATTGATTTTTGGACAATTTGTTTCCCCTTTCTTGATCTCTTTCATTCATTCTCCTCATGTCAGTTTTTTTAGCTCACTCATCTAGCTGTGCTATCCATCTCTCATCATATCCCTTGATAGTACTTTGAAAATCATGAAGAGTCATTGGGGATGATTTAACAATATTAACGAAGGCTACAGAGCAGCTAAATTATCCAGAAGAAAACTCGGCATGCTAAGAAAACAACATCAAATCTAAAAACAGCAACGGTAACATTTGTCCTAAAATGTATGGAATGCCAAATCTGCACTAAAAGTAAACAATCACAAGATTGCGCTCTACTTAATAATATAGGAGCCTGAAATAGCATAATGTGCATGCTTCAAAAATTATTTGAAACACGTGTTCGGGATCTTGTACAAAGACAATCTCTTGTACAAGCCCCTAAAATACTCTGACTTTTCATAGTGTTCCAGGTGGGCCTGGGGTGGGGAAAGACCTCACTGCTTTAAAGGAATCTATTAATTAAAATGAATTTGTAGGAGATTATCAGGAAGAGCCTGAAAGGGGGGGGGCTCAAGAATGTCATCATTTTAGAGTCACTTTGCACCCACAAGAGAGCCAGGTTCAGCCCCACTTGAATTCCACTAGGAATTCTATCAGCTTTTTGCCCTGACTGTTAGTAGTTCAGATTCTTATTTACAGATAGCTTGAAATAAACATGTATTCACTTTGGACTCAGTCCTGTCTCCTGATTTTTTTTTTGCCTGATAGAACTGAACTTAAAGCATTGGCTTGCTCAAAGACCACAGATCAGCAAACAGGAAAACAAACCCTAAAGAAATGCAGGCTATAAGCATCATAAGCATTAGAAAGGCTGAATCAGTATGCATATCAGACAGAATCCAGATGAGAAAGGGGAGACACACATGCAAATTTTGCATATTTAATTAAAACATGTGAAATGCCATCATACATGGTGGATTTTGTGGGGCAGGAAATACTCACATGGCTTAAATAGGGTTATTGGCACAGGGAGATATATATTTTCAATAACTAGTTGGGAATTTCTGCCTCCAATTTTTTTTCCCTCTTGTGACTTAATAACTTGAAATTTCTTATCTGATTAACCACCAGCCCTGTATAATCCTATTGCACAGATGGCGGCTTCAAAGAATTTGGTGTAGGCCTGCACTCATGAGGCAAAGAAACATTTCCAAAGCAATTAAAAATGAAGAAGTGCCTAAAGGTGATGGATTTAAGAACTTTTCCTTGTGACATTTTCTGATCATCCTGAATGTTTATGCAGAATTTAAAAAAAAAGAAGAAGCAGCACCTTGAAGACCACAAATTCGATCTGAGGCATATATTTTCTTAAGCCAAAAAATGTTTTAAGCTAGCATACTGCAAAGCAAAACACCAGCCTCCAGAATCATTTTTATACCAAAGCGTACCCTTGGGTGTGTATTTGTTCTGTTAGACTTATTATTTCCTGCAATCAAAAGTTTCTTGGCAGTTCACAGTATGACCAAAAGAACAATACAGTAATAGACCTACCAGATATCATTTAAATTATTTCTAAGGAAAAAAAAAAAACAACCCCTCTTAAGGCAAAACAAACAAATGGATTACAGTAGCTGCATTTTCCAACAGTAGTACAATTAGGAAATAAAAACTGTAGGACTACACGTTTCTATTTTATTTGCAAATGTGCCCACTAGCTGGATAGTAGGGGTGGGCAGGAGAATAAAAGTACAAACAATGACTATCCAGGGAGGCTATAAAATATGGAACAATCTGATTCTGGCAGAAATCTTTTATGGCAGTTGTTTTTTTATTGTTTGTTCTTATGTTTTACAGCATGCTCAGTAGTCCTAAAGAAACTGGGTGTAGGAGGAGTGCAGAACCTGGGACTGGAGTTAAAAGAGGGAACAGCCTAGTATCCCTACATGGCCACAAGCAGACTAAGTCCAGCCTCCCTTGAATCACATTGACTCTTATCTAACTCAAGGCTGGTGCTAATCCTTAATTGAGAAGATTCCTGCATAGACTCAAGTAGCAATAAATCAATAAAGTTGGATTTTCACATGTGGACCTGGTCTTTCAAGCTTGACTTTGGAATTCTAATTATTTTTTAAAGTATATTATTCATCTTTCTTTTTATTCCAGGGCAAATCTTTGAAGACCATATCATTTGAAGCTTGCAACATATATTTAATATATTTTTTCCACTCCCTCACCCCTTAAAAAGTCTGACACGACAGAGGGGATACTGTGAGAAACAGAGGCTTCACAAGAATGATATTTACTCATTCATTGGCTATTAATTGCCTTCATTTGTTCACTTGGCTCAAAATAAGGGAACTCAATGGTTTGATGGAAAGGAAATCCTCCCCTGCCCACCAAAAAAATAATAATAAGTATTTATTTTTCAGGAATTATTTCTCTTTTCTTTCTCCCTTCCTTCTTCGTTCCTTCATGGCATTCAGAATGACCAACCTCAGGGGGTGTCCATCAGATGAAATAAAACCATTCTTATCAATATGATCTTAAATCCAGAATGAAATCCAGAAAGAAAATGAAAATGCTGAACACTGCATTTTTGTTAATCCCATCCCCTCCCCCCACCAATACAATCAGTTTTAGGATCACTTTTTTTAAAAAAAATACCAAGAAATGTAAAATGATCTTTCTCTGGACCTGGAAAGATATCAGACGCCAATCAAGCATGGGTGTGATAAGGCCTCTCAAAAGAATTCTCTAATGCTACACTTATTATAAAATTAAAGACATCAAAATAGTTTAGATCTAGTCTTATAAGAAGAGGAACATTGGATTATCAATTAAGTTTATTAGAAAATTTATGAATCATAACTCTGAGAGATTTTTTTTACAGCAGCCTTGAATCTTAACTGCCTGGAAATAGTATTTCTAGGTCAAAATTCCTCTTACTTGAAAATCTAGAGAACTGTGGACTGAGTTGACTTTACTAGATGGAGAAATGATCTGACTAAATTTAATTCCTAAATTCTCTACAGGAGGGAAAAAAGTCAAACACAACTGGAGATTGGAGATGGTCTCCCAGGTATCATACACATTAAGCCCTTTCTGCAGCAGGAATATAACTGTTTTAAAGCAGAAGTACCTTATAGAGCTTGAAGATCCATCTGGATCGTGGGCGGTCACCTGACCAATCACGGAGTTAATAGCAGCATTTTCATGCACTTCCAGTAGATACGTTGGTGATGAAAAAATTGGGGGTTCATCAGCATCTTCCACTACAATTTTTAATGTTGCCGTATCCTTGAAGGGTCCCATGCTGATGAAACGTGGATCAATATAGGCATTAGTTGCTTCTACCTTCAGGGTATATGAATTTTTGGTCTCAAAATCCAAGGGCTGTTAAGAACGAAAAACACAAAAGCTTTTTCTAGATGATCACAACAGCAAGAACAAGACAATGCAATGCTGACACATCTGCTTCCTCTACTTTTCTTGACTTTTAATGCAATCCCTTTTCCCTTTCTTTTATCATGGCCGAAAACTTCATGAGTTGTTTATTAATGTCTCATTTATCTGGTAAGCTTCAATGAAACCCCACCAAATTGGAGATTTGCTGTCTCTGTTTAAAAGTGTTTTTTTTAATAAAAAAACCAACAACATATATAAAGGTTTTTCGCTTAGAATTTTGCTATTTTTTTCTTTCTTTTTTCTTCTTCTTCTTTTTGCTAATGACCTAGACTGAATATTAATCACTCAGCTAATTGTCATTCTGTTTGCTGTAGTTAAGGAGCAAAGAGAGAGAAATGAGCAAGTTTCAAGTGGCATAAGAATTCTATTGTTTAAAGAAATGTGTGAAAAAACAGACTGAAGATATTGTTCTTTGATTCAGATTGAACAAGTCAGAACAACTGAGATCTGGTTATATGGAGAGATGAACATTGTGGTATCAAAATGTATAAGAATAGTTGTGTATCATAGCCATCAAGAGATTTGTTTACAATATTTCTCTTGAAGCTTCACCTTCTGGTGCTGTTAAACAAAGCAGCATTGGAAGAATGGAAAAGTTTTCAAGGTGTGCAACACATATTTACCTTTGCTTGGGATTTAACACATTAGTATTAGCAAAAATGGAAGCATTTATGTCTGAGAGGCTAACTACATCCAGATACGAATCATAATAATTCCAATTCAAAAAGGCAAGAACAAGTAGTACATATAATGGGAAAGATCTCTGCTGATAATCCCTACAAGTAAAAACAACAACAAACCTTAGCTTAGAATTTTATCTTAGTGGCATAAGTGAGTTTCAAAATTACATTTAAAGCCCACATTTAAACATATCCCGTATTCTTTTCTACTGGCTTAAGGAGATTCCACTATTGGTTTAATAAGACTTTATAGTTGGTCATTGATAGCACAGCTTGCAAGGAATATCTGTGGCTGAAGCTCAAAGAATTAAGAAGGTGAATATAATTTTCATTATTGAGAAACTGATGGGGTACAGCTTAGAGGGTTAAGCAATGTATTGATCCTTTGTTTTCATAAAGGTTTAGGCCTTCTTCTCATTAGAATCACAGGTTTTGGAGACTTATCTTGAAGAAAAGAGTTATTAAGTGCCTGTGCACTGAAGATCTGAATAATTATGATATATTGTTGTTAGTAAGTTAAGTGATCCATAACCTGTCTCTTCATATTTGCTCCTGAAACACTAGAGTACAGGTCTGAACTCTTTAGTATTATGCTTGGTAACAAAGTCAGCCAGATGTTTAGATTGGATTTGGCATTTTTATCTACCTATCAACTTCCCAAGGGCCTGGGATAGGAATATGTTGTTTGATGGGGCTAAAGTTATCATTGCAGGATATAAACTGTTCCAAATAAAGTTGCCTTTTGCAATTGATGGATGGTGATTTTGTCAATGCTGCTTCTTCTTCTTCTTCTTCTTCTTCTTCTTCTTCTTCTTCTTCTTCTTCTTCTTCTTCTTCTTCTTCTTCTTCTTCTTCTTCTTCTTCTTCTTCTTCTTCTTCTTCTTCTTCTTCTTCTTCTTCTTCTTCTTCTTCTTCTTCTTCTTCTTCTTCTTCTTCTTCTTCTTCTTCTTCTTCTTCATCTTCTTCTTCTTCTTCTTACTGTTATTATTGTTATTATTATTTTACGTATAAGGATTCCAAGAGATAGTATTATGAGATGAGAGAGACAGCCCTCAAACAATGGCTGGATATAGCAGTTGATACGTAATTAAGTCAATTGTACACGCTATATGCAAAACGATCTTTGTATCAGGAGTGCCGGAAAAAAAGAAAAAAAAAAGAAAAAGAAAAACATCAAATTCATAGCAACTCTATAGAGCAAGAATGATTGGATATTCATATTCACAATTTGCCAATCATTTCAATAGGCCTTGGAGAGAAGCACTTCTGATTGGTTTTGCTCATAAATATTTGAAACATGCAGATAAGAAATAATAATAATAAGAAGAAGAGTTACAAGACCCTTTAAAAAAAAAAAAAAGAGGCATCACCAATTTTATGACCACCCAATATCTGCTGTAACTTCAAGAACATTGACATGTACGGATTCACAACCCAACCCTTTGATGCCTCACAATGATTAACATTTCAAATCTGCAGATTTGTCAAGCTTTAGAAAGATATAAAAATTTGCATCACAATGTCCCATAGAACGGAAGAAAGAGAAGGAGAAAAAAAAACATAGAGAAGTTTAAATCTGCAATGCAAATGTAAAGATCACAAATAAAAATTCAAGAACTCTTTCAGAAAGTCTCGGAAAGCTTAAGAATATATTCATATTTTCATATCTTTTTTTAAAAAAAAATCAGCACCGTTTTTGAATCTAGTTCTAATGTAACTTTGCCATTTTTGATAAACACGACAAGCACTGCCTCTCTGCCAACTCAGAAATTACTATGCCTTTGTGCCGATGAATAGGTTGCTGGAAATCAGCATATACACAATTTGCCAATCACACAACGGTATCATTTGAACCATTGCAAATTCCGCAGTAATAAATCATACCAGTCCAAAGCGTTTGTCAGCTTAGTGCTTTAAATGCACAATGTTATTATTATTTAAAGTATATTTGAAATTAAAAACAATAACAGATCGGCATCTATTACGGGGTGTGCTAGGTGAAAACTATGGGCTTGATTGAAAACCGGGGTTCTATGAATGAGTGCTGAACACAGTGGAAACTTAAAACCTCTAGAATAAATCACCCTTCCTGAATCTATATAGGAAGCAAATAGAGAAAGGCAACATTGACTGGTATTTAATTTTTGCCTGGGCAGGATGCTGCTGCAAGTGGGCTGAGTCACATTTTTCAAATGGAGTTCTTTTGAGAGATTTGTTTTTTTTAAAAAAAATCATTAATCTTAGGCTTATCTTATGGCCTCCATGTATTTCCCACTTCAAAATGACAAAAGATGAAAATTCAGCAGTGGAATTGGAAAGGAACGCTATCTGACAACCCACTGGTCCTCTGCATCAAAGAGGAACAAATCACAATGATAATCATGATAATTTTGCACTCATGTCAAAAGCACCAAGAAGCTTCCAGGTTGAAAGGATTTGCCAATGACATCACTGCTGTCCTGGGGGCTCCTTTCTTGTCCCCAGCAGGAGTTGGAGAGAATTAGGAAAGAGTATATTGTTGTTCAGATGGGTTTTTTAAAAAGGAACTTAACAGATTATTGTAAAATTGTACCCCGTTACTTTGTGTGATATCAGGACTATGGTCCTGCAGTGAAACGTGTTGGATGGACATTGGGAACAAGAGAAGGACATAGGATACAGCATACTGGAATCTACAAATACTGGATTCGGTGATGGCTTTCAAGAGAATTACTAAAATGTACATATTTGGGATATGGGATACTTATGGTCATTGCTTCTCTGTGCATCTCCAGGTTTATTAGAGACCATATCCCTCAAGTAACAACTGATGGAAAAAACAAAAAGGGTAGACCTTCCATAAGTGGAACACAGCTCCTAGGACCTTCACCTGACACATTCATGTAGTTCTATTTTTTTTCCATTATTCTCTTCTGGGATGTATTTTTGACTTCTCAACTCAATTTACAGTGCATGGATTTCTTGGTGATCTCCCAAGAAATCTATTAAACAGGTCCAATCCTGCTGCTTAGTCTTTTTGATATCAACTATGGTAGCTATGAAATCAAATATATCTCTTGAGCTGGTCCATACCTTCTCCGGTCCCCACCCAAAATTGCGCACCTCTGTTTTAAGAACTGTTTTGGGCATTGCTAGGATCCAAAAACCCGTATTTTCTCCAATCTCCATGCCATTTACCTTTCTTAATCTAATAATTCCTTCCTGAGAGTCAGAGGTGATCTCAAAGATATCCATTCCATCTCCTTCAATAATGTCATAGGACGACTTCGCATTCTCACCAATGTCCAGGTCATTCGCTTTGACCCTTCCTATTGCTTCGCCGACAGCAATGTCTTCCAATACTGAGAAATGATACAAACCTGAGTGAAAGTGAGAGTAAGAGAGATGAAAAGCACAACCATATACCAACAACCTGAAGAACAGTCAAACTTATTACATCACCCATTTTCTTCCTGCTCTCTATTTCTTAAATGTGGCAGTTTAGGATGTAGTCATATTTTTTGCAGCTTTCTTGGGCTATATGTCATGTCATATACAGTACACTCTGCAACAGGATGACAAATAACTAGGTCTGAGAATGATTCATTGTGTTAGCCCACTTATAACTGATACTGCTAATGCAAAACATTCAGCTATTTTCAGCAACAAAACAAAAAGGAAAAAGAAAACATGCAACTTTCCAGATGTTTTGAAAACTGTCTACTTATTTATAGATCAGCTGCTAAGGATACAAAAGAAATCTAGCACATATTTCTTTTATTTTTAAATCCTATGGTGCACCAAAGTAAATTCCATTATGGCACAGATGACAGAAACATAGAGTTTGATGCTTTTAACATGTTCAGTTAGAACACACACAAAAAAGTAGGAAATGTCAAAGCAGGTTTCAAAGAATGGTGTAAAACCAAGGTATGATTGGAAAAAAAATACTTTTAAAATGAAGTTAAGGCAAATCCTCATTAAAATATAGCATATTTAGTTGGGCATTTCTAGAAGAAATTCTCTGCTTTATGTTACTGGTTTCAGAAATATATTCAGGTGACTCAAGGATAGGGGGTATTAAAAATTCTAAAGAAATAAGGGGAGGGAGGTTGGTTATGCAGAAGCTCAGAACATTTTTTTAGTGATTCATGGAAACAGAGAGAGAGTCAAGAAAATGTTATAAAATATGAAACCTCTGGGTTGACCAGACTTGATGGCCATAGAAGCAGATGCCCTTTAATCTTCACCCAGCCCCAAACTCTTGGTATGCAATGGCCCGGGTCTATTCTAGTCTTGATGCCAAACTCTACAAGTGACTCCCTAATTCTAATGTTCCAGACAAGAGATTTTTCTACAGGACCACAAAAGCAGATGAAATACCACCCTTGCTAAGAATCTTAATTCATAGCCTTTCCTGTATAACTGAAGAGCAAAACAACACATTAGTTTCACCCCTCCGTGGTATCACGGGAAAAAAACAACAGTGGGGAACTTATATATTGGTGTACTAATTGCTGCAAATTAATTAATGTTTAATTATGGAGCTGAGCAGAGAGAGCAAGTATTGCCAAGAAGATGAATAAGATCTGGAAGACTGTACCTCTTTGGAGACGTTTGGCAAAATATCAAAGGAAGAGTATAAATGTAAAATAAAACAATGAACTATTACATTAGCTGGAATTTGCTCCTTCCAACTGGCTATTTTAATTAGAATGTATCCTTTGTTTACCCTCTTTATTTATTTTACTCCGTCATTCAGCTCGTAGCTACCACATTGAATCAAGCATTTTGCACCAACAATAATATAATGAATCATTCGTGCTAAATGTAATAAGATCAATAATAATAAAGCCATCAGTCATTCATAGGTGCCATCTCAATTACCATAAGTCCTCTGACAAGCTTCCCATTTTTAGCAACTTTCAGAAATATAATCACTTATAGAAGTTTATGATTTATGAAATAACGTACCATGCCGTTTATCATATCGGTGTAAAATATCCATAATTGTTTCAAATTGTCTGAGATCATTCAAACATTAAAAAAAGGAGATTAAGAACTTTCAAAGAACATTAAACTGAAAATTGCAGAAGTTTCCTCCAAGACCCTTTTCATTAAACTAAGGCTGGTGGAACATTCTAATGGTTTCACCCATTCCTAATTCAAAACACAGGGAAATATTTCTTACCTGCTTAAACTGGTTTCCAACAGAGTATTTTACATCACCTATCAGTTTCTCATTACTTAGAGAGAAAAAAATGAAATTGTTCATTCTAATGACATCTCTGACTTTTAGTAATGATCTGGAAACTGGCAAAGCATGGGTAATCTCTGCCTCCTGAACATGTCTACAGATGGCCTAATTATGCATGCTTCTTAGTAATTCACTTGTTTCAGCTCTGGGTAAGAGGTGAAATTATCCATTTCAGGAACTACCTATCTCTGAAACCAATCAGATACAATTCATGCATACCCAATGAGTCAGACAGTCTTAAATAGAAACACCGGGACCTCGCCTTCTCATTTTTTGGTTCCTTTCACAGGAAGAATTTGCTGGTGTCATAACATAATTGTCATAACTATTTGCACAGATTATTATCCACAGTATGTCTCAGAACAGCTATAAATATATGTACCCAAGAAGCCCTGTTTTGGGGACACACATTTAGTTTAAAAAAATAATGTTGCTTGTTGGTGAAATGGCAAACTGCTAAAAAAGAGAGAGAGAGAGAGAGAGTCTTGTTTTATTGTTTTATTCTGTTGACGGAGTTTAACCATCAAAAAGAGATTTACTGAAAGATTTTGATTTATCTCAGTTAGAACAGTGGCAGGCAACCTGAGGCCTTCCAGTTGTTTTGGATTTTTTACCATTGGACTGGGGTTGATGAAGAAGGGAAGTCATAATTTGGCACCAGAATTCCTAACCTTAGGAGATAGCAACTCCATTTCTGGGTTCAGGCTAGAGAGTTAGAAAATAATGATATAGGGCCGTGGTGGCGAACCTATGGCACGGGTGCCAGAGGCGGCACTCAGAGCCTTCTCTGTGGGCACGCACGCCGTTGCCCCAGTCCTAGGCCTTCAGCTGGGTTTTATAAAACCTTTTTGCTTTAGGCCTCCACCGCTGTGTGCCAAAAGAAAAAGTTTCAATCAATCAGTCAATTTCAACTTCTCGCAGGGAAAAAAAATCTTGAAAAGTTGGAATTGATTGATTGAACTTTTTAGTCCCACCCAGTCTGCCGTTACCACTGCAGCCACGCCCAGCCAATGGGCCACACCCACCCAACGGGCCACACCCAGCCAATGTTCCACACCCACCCGGAACCTGATGATGCATAAGTGGGTTTTGGGTTGCAGTTTGGGCACTCGGTCTCTAAAAGGTTCGCCACCACTGATATAGGGGATCTTCAGATTTGGAGGGAATAAAAAAACCCTATTCTGGAGCCAGAAACATGAATGAAAATTTCCTTTCCAGTGGGCTGTAGGTTAACTGATATAATGAGGACATTTCTCTCCTGAAATGGTTGATGGACCACCTTCTTGCTGGACAAATACAAAGTATGGGATCAGCTTTTAATCAAAGCTGGAAATGTAAGATTATTTGATAGTCATTGTTAAAAAATAGAGGATGGTGATACCCCAAGTGTTTGTTGAACATAAATCCAGACCCCCAGAAAAATAAGGAAAAGTGAGGTAAGATTAAATTAAATGAAGTATATTCGGAGTGGTAAGGAACATCCTTGGAGGATAAAATGAGTGTCATCCACTTTATCAGTTTCCCTGTTGATACATGAATGCTTTAAGATTGCTCACATCTACCATGACAAGCATGTTGGAGATGTCTAAGCAGCTTAGTGGCAGCTATTTTATGAGACCAACCATGACATGTTTTCAACATTCCATCCCAACATTCAACATTGGGTCTTCTTGGCCCAACAGATTTGCCAGTCTGAGCTATAGAGGATGACTCACCACTCTTTAGCATAGTCTTCTCTGCAGGTATGTGATACTAAACTTCCAGAATTCACTTCTCCACACGACCTCTGCTGAGAATTCTGGAAAATGACTGCATACCTGCCTAAACAGTGTGGAAAAGGTTATACCACACAGATGTACTTAATACAATAAAAACGTTATTTCTTGTAGCCAAAACTCTAACTAGGGTTTTCCCCCAAGGGTTAGATGGGGAAATGGAGTCCCAGTGAGAAGGCTGTATATTTCGAAAGGTGCTACTTTTATTTCTTATGAATGTGCATTAATTTCTTTTCTTGTTATTGTTGTAAATTTGCCGTGCGAGTCAGACAGTCTTATAAAGGTGATAAATAAATATAATAAATGTATTTTATATCTTGCTCTATTATAGCATTACTGGCAAAAAATTCAGACGCATCAGATTAATGTTGCAAGCTTTGGTTTGAGAAGGGCAAAGAGGTTAGCTGACATTAAACTGTGATTCAAACCAATATCTTGCCCGTCTCTGGGAAGAAAATGAGAAAATAGCTGCATGCAACTTTTCTCTCTGCCAATATGAGCAGAAACAAATATAATATACTCTGCTTCATACATCTCCTTGAAAATCACCATTTGTGGTGATTCAAGAGCTTTCATGTAAAAATAAGTATATAGATGAAAATAAAACCATACCCTGGAAATGTTCATTTGTAGCCTTAAGATAGAATTGATTTCTTTGTTCCCTACATTCAGATTCTGTGCCCATTATATCTTATGCTTATTGCCTAAAATAATGCCTTATGGGCTATAAAAACAGAATGGCAGTTAATTATGTACTATATTCTTTCTTAGTATTTCCAAGGTTGAAACATAGATAGGGATCTCACTGGCAACTGCTAAAATAATTCCTAACATATAAGCAAGAAATGGAATTATAATAAAAGGTTATCACAGGATTTTTTTTCTCAGATGGGTTCTATTATTTAATCAGGCATTTCTTTAATAAAATCAACAATAGATCCCACGACTCATACTCATTTTTTTTTCACTTTTTAAAAAAAATTCCATAGTTTAAGGATATAATCAGTTGGATCAGAAATTCCATTTAAGATGCCAGTACTGGACACAGTTTATACTCTTAATCAAGATGATGCCATGGTCTGATATATAATTATAGATACAATCTGAATAGAAAACGAGTCCAAAATTATCTTCTCTGAGGTTATTTCAAGAAGCAATTTTACAGAGGGCTGGAGGCTAAAAGATATGAAGAATGGTTGCAGGAATTGGGTCTGTCTAGTCTAGTGAAAAGAAGAACTAGGGGTGACATGATAGCAGTGTTTCACTATTTGCCACAAAGAAGAGGGGGCCAACCTATTCTTCAAAGCACCAGAAGACAAGAAACAATAGATGGAAACTAATCAAGGAGAGAAATAATCTAGAACTGGGGAGAAATTTCCTGACAGTGAGAACATCTAACCAGTGGAACAGCTTGCCTTCAGATGTTGTGGGTGCTCCCATCACTGGAGGCTTTTAAGAAAGATCTGGAGAGCCACTTAACTGGAATGGTATAAGGTATCCTGCTTGAGCAGGAGATTGGACTAGAAGACCTCCAAGATCCCTTCCAATTCTTTTATTCTGTTATTCTGTTAGAATTCCACCTGCCAGATAAATCCTGTAGGACACTAAATAATCTACAGAACCAGTCTAATAACATCCACATGTACCGATCAAGACTTCCCCCCAAAAAATAATTTAGCACATGGTATTGACCGTGTTTTCACCAGTGACAAGTATATGAAAAACATTTCTCTTTATTTGATGTACAGGCCACAGGAAAGATATCAGTAGACTTTTATATATGTAATATCTATTTTCTTCTCTCACTAGGGATGTGAAAAATTCACTGTTTCAGGAATGGGACATCTGGTACACCTGTTCAAGATGATTTGCTTTCGGAAACCTTGACCAGCAGATCCAGTTCATGGCCAGACCAGACCCAAAATCTGCTGTTCATGTGAAAACAAGTGCTATCTGTAACAACTGGAGTTTGTTTTACATTATTTGTTATAAGTGCCCCTAAAATTATTTTCAAGAGAACTCAGTAGTTGTGAAAGTTGACTGTTCTTATTTCAAAGGCTCAGGAGGGCTGTATTTATTTGAAATCTAGCCATAAATACACATGTATGTTCTGCTCAAAAACAATAAAGACACATAACTCTCTCAATACTGTCTGAGTTCATTAAAATTTATTGTGAATATGCCAAGTGTTACGTCTTATGAATATTGATCACCTTCTTGTTCAGTGTGGTTCTATTCTAGCTATGAACATTCTGCTTTTATGCTTGTTTATTTTTATTTTCCCAGAAAATAGGTGTAAGAATGTTTGTGTTCCTATATATCTATTATATTTTTCCTCCAGGACTTCAAGGCAATATAAGTAGATATCACTAAGTACTAATTAGGCTACCTGCCAATCTCTGAATCAAATTTACTCAATAAATTCCATGACTGAGTGAGGATTCAAACCTGAATCTTGCCCTAGACCAAGACAATAACTACTATATTACTCTTATTTTCATGAAAATCATAAAGGTTCTCTTGGCAAATATATAGAGTTGCTGCTGATATTAATCTTTCCTGATGGCTAATATAGCTAGATTCAATTTCCTGTAAATTCAAACACAAAACTAGAGCTGTTTCAGACTGCACAAAGATTTCAAGCCAATGTCTTCTGAGTTAATTTTTATTCCATAAAATATCCAATTAGATTAAAACAATGAGCAGCAAATGGATTACAGCCATTGCAGTTAACTGATGGCACCAAAACACTTCCTGGGGGAAACAGATTGTAATTTATCACAATCTGAGTGTGAGTTTTAATGTGGTTCAGTCTTGTTTTAAAAGGTTTGAGGGGCAATATACTGTAATATGATAGATTCAAGGCTCACTTCTCAACCAATATTATGTACAGGATTGGCCTATCCAGCATAACTATTGAATGAAGAGCACTTTATAATTACTCTAGCTTTAGCTAATATATAACACATCATTTATGTGTAGCGGTTTATAATGAAATCTTTATTCCTTTCATTTTTAAGGGAAGAAATGAATATTAATTGCCTGATCAAGTAGGTAGATTCCTAAATTTGTAGACTGGCTCTAATTCCTATTATCGATTCATTTTTTTCTTGTTCATCTAATGTGATTCAACAACTGAGAGATATTGAAAGAATATTATAAGTGATTCAACATTCAACTTTTTGATTTTAGCTATGACTGATTGCTCTTATAAGCTAACCAGAGTTCTTTTAGATGGGGAGTCATACAAAAATATTGCAATATAAAACAGCAACCAATGTATAATTGTAACACAGTAGGCAGCTACTATACTGAAAAAAATGCAGTAGGCATGACTAAGTGTTAGGAGGTAGCCATTTGTGCTTGCACACAGCACTTCACTTGCTTACTGAACCAGTGAATATTCTGGTTGCACACAATACATTGACTATAAACTAATCAAACAAAACTGCAAGTGTATCAAGATAGAGATGAAAATTAAGATTAGCACTAACTATGTTTAATATGTGTGACTGTACCTGCTAGAGCATTCACTAACCTAGCTAAGTGTACTGGGCAAACACAAAAACTGCCTCTTTTCCAATTGTTTTGTTTGCCTTTCATAGACTAAGCATCTACTTATAATAAATGACAGGGAAAACCAGCTAACACTTAAGGATGCTTATAAGAAAATTCCAGCAGAATGCAACTATGCCTAATAAAATCAACCCTTATTATAACAGATCAGTGAAGCATACATATGTAGAAATGATAGCACCAAATATGGATTTTGAATTTAAGATCAGTAATTAACTAGACCTGGAATTGTTTTTCCAGTTCTTATCTCCAATTATGCATTGGTCAATTTCTTGCTTTTAACAATAACAATACACATATTTTTAGACTTGTCCCTCGCTGACTAACATAACACTAATCTAACAGGGCTCTGAGAGCACTGCAGATAATACAAGGCTAAGAAATAGATAAAGAAAAGGGGAAAGGAGAAACGGAGGGTATGTATGTCAATATTATAAATAGATTTACATTTTTTTACCTTAAGGATTTCTAGTGCTCACATTTTTGAACTTCTCATTAATTCAAGCCAGGACCCTAAAGCTGTGTGTGGCATTACTCACTCCCAGTGCTGTTATATATGAACCTATATATCAATATTTATTCTCTGTATGTCAGACACAGAAAGTGCCTGTTTGAAGTAGGCATCTCAATAGGATGACTTGTTGGAATAGGGTGACCTGACTTCAAATCAATACTCATCCACCCTTCTCCTTTACACAGGTCAAATTTAAATAGCTACAGGAATCAGTAACCCATGGGCATCCAGAGATTGTTTGCAACACCATATAAAACAAGTTCCTGTGTTTATAATAAGCATTTTAAGGGGACACTAAGTTAAAAAAAAAAGGTCAAAAGACAAACAGTTTGAAGAACAATGAACAACAGATTGGATGTGTGATCAGTGCCAGGCAGAGAATTCTCACTTTCTCCCAGCAGGAAAAAATAAAATGTTTTAAAGCTTCTTGCATGGAAGACAAAGTTTCCAATAGGTTTTTACTGTGGTGTGACTTTCTTCTGCTTATCAACTGGACAAATCTTTCACCCAATTTTTTTGCCCGTAGATTGGGAGGAGACGTTTTAAACGGAGCTTTTGCCTAGCTTTAAATATGAGGGTTGAAAGCAGCTAGAGTAGCTGAAAGCACAGAAGGAGAGGTGGAGAAGATGGAAATAAAAAGGCACCACAAAAGAGAAGAGGCGCCACAATATAAGGATTAGGAACATGAAGAAATGAAAGAAAGGCAATGCAAAGATGAAAGAGATCAACATCTCTGTATTGCTGATATACTGAATTATGCAACCATTTTTCCCCCTCTTTCTTGTTTCTCCCAAATAGCCATATTTCTCCTTCTCTGTGTTTGTCCTGCTTAGTTGCAAACCTTATTTGCTTTGCCTTGAACATGCCTAAGTATCAAACCATGATGTGATCAGTGGGTTTTTTTTTTGTTCTGCAACTTGTGTGTTCAGTAACCTGACACTTATTTGGGCTGAGAGGGAGTGATTAGTCTTGGATTACAAGCTGACCTCCATACTCAAAGGGTCTCTGTTAGCCCTTCAAGGTTGTCCAGAAAGATGCACAACCAGGATCAGCAGCACTATGTTTATTTTAAGATTACATTGAACAATCTTGCAAGACTGAAAATATTTATCCCCTCCTCTCTTTTTAGTCTCTGGGAAATTAGGGAGGGTCCCTTCTGAAATGCTCCCCATGTTTTCCCCCTACCTGTGATCTGAAGGGTGTCTTCTCAGACCATTGCCCTGGCTGTGGGTCTTGCTCCTGTCCCCCAAGGTTATTCCTACACACCATCACTTCACCTCTAGCCTAACACCAACAGCACTCCATTATTCTACTCTTCTATTTTATGCAATTAGCAATCTTTATAAATTACACATGATGGTTACTTATGGAGTAAATACAATGGTTGGGTTTCACATACCACTTTAAAGAACAGGCCCATCATTACAGATCATGGTGGTTAGATTCACACAATATGCCAAGGTAACACCACACAAGGCGCTTAGTTCCTTCCAATGATGTGTGTATTCAATTATTGTCTTTCTTGGCCTGTTGTCTGATTATTAGGAAGTGGATGCATTAGAAATATAACTAACTTACTTTGTGCAAACTTTGGAGGATTGTCATTGACATCAGTCAGCGTAATAGTCACTGTGGTGGTTCCAGAGAGTCCACCCATGTGTCCACCCATATCCTTTGCTTGGATGACCACGGTATATTCCTCTTTGGCTTCCCGGTCCATGTTTGAAAGAGCAGTTTTGATGATAGCTGGGAAAAGAAAAGAAAGGAAGGAAGGAAATACCATCAGAAAGGGAAGTGAGAACTTCATGCAGTGTGACCAAGGCTGGATTTAATATTTGAGATGATCTTCTTGAAACTATCTTCGTTCAAAGGTAATATTTAAAATATAACAACACCAGAAAAAACCCTCTGGATCAGGCCACGGACTTAACTGGTGTAATATATTTAATATATATGATGAGATTTGGGGATCTAGCTTGGGGAATCTCTCACCTCATTAATTACCAGTTGATTTGGCTTATATGAATGACAGATAAGCAATTAACCAGTGGAACAACCTGCCTCCAGAAGCGGTGAATGCTCCAACACTGGAAGTTTTTAAGAAGAGACTGGACAGCCATTTGTCCGAAATGGTATAGGGTTTCCTGCCTGAGCAGGGGGTTGGACTAGATGACCTCCAAGGTTCCTTCCAACTTTACTACTACTACTACTACTACTACTACTACTATTATTATTATTATCATTATTATTATTATTATTATTATTATTATTATTATTAAGCAGATATCTACTTCTTTCTTCACCGCCCCAGGGTTGTCCCTCCAGAAGCCGCACACGCTCAATGGGAAATAATGACTATCCTATCTAGCATTGTGTCATTCTATGGGCAGGGTGTATCAGAGCTGTATTTCATCCACTGACAAACCACCTGCATTCAGAAAGTTTACGAAAAGGAGAACTTCCACTCTACTCCCTGGAAAGTGGAGTTCAAGGCATGCTAATAATGATTCCAGAAGTAGAAACCAGCATTAAAAATAACAGCCACTAATAGTGCGACCCTACCCAAATCATTCCATTTCAGTTTTGAAACCATCTAAATTCACAATTAATTTGTAGTTTAACTTTACTTCTCTTCACGTTTGGCTCTCCTGCACAGCTGGATGAGCTACTTTGCTTCAGGCAGCCACAGGCAGGAAGGGAGACGAAAGGAAGGAAAAAATTAAAAGAGAACGAATGCCTTCAGAATGTATTTATTTACACCTATAGTTGAGCATGGGTAAACAGTTCCCTAAAAACAGGGAGCACACACACAAAAAATATATATCCTGCATTTGATCTTTAATGATAAACTGTTAGTCTTCTAAGATGCTTCAGTTTTAGATTCCATCTATGTTTAATTCAATCAGATAATTGCCTCTGGCAGTCTTCGTCCCTCTTCACCTGAGGAAAGATATTTTGGATATCAAGGAACTATGAATATTGTTGCTGTCCTATTACCAAGCCAATGTTTCTATTAGTGATTTCCATTAGGCTAGAAGACCAATGCATTCCTAACAATACACAACCAAGGCATGGCCTACTTAGTCCTGGATGGATGCCATAGAGTGCAGAATGGCCAATACTATTTACTTTCAGCCTGGCCAGTAAAGGTTTTAATGGACAAATAGGTATCTTGAAGCATTAAAGAATAGCACAAGCCATGGTGATTTGGGTGGCTTAAATGGGTAAATTAACTCCTGCAAAATATTGTTATGGATCAGAAAATGATTGGGAAGGCTGCATGTGACCAACTGGCTGTGAGATCAGAATCAGTCTTTACATGATGGCTTGGAAGCAAACTGGGCAGAAGTGCCTGCCACTTTATGACATCATTTGAATTTCCCTAGAGCACACAACTCTGGTTTCGGGTCTGAAACTTAGAGAGGGAAAATCAACAAACCTTCCATCAGGTTTGCCCACAATCTCATTTTTAAAAATAATATTACAGAAAATATAGACATTATAAAATAAAATGTAAACCACACAAGTCAATCGCAGCAAGCTGAATTTATTCACACTTTCTCTGCATACTGAACATGCAGTCTATAATAATGGATTAGGAGCCCCCCAGGCAGCAGTGATAAAAATGATAATACTGTCAGCTTTTGTGGCAGAAACTATCCATTTCCGGCGAGGAAACTCAAATTTCTCTTCCTGCTTATTAAATAAGAGATTGGTGGTGTCCATTCTTAGAACATCTGGCAGCTTAATGGAAATACACGAAGATATTGTTTATGTATGTATGTATTTACATATTCTTAAAAATGTGCTAATTGCCTTCCTGGAAAGAAAAAAGCAAATGCTTTGACGAGTCAGTTAAAAAATGTCAGTGACAAAAGCACGGTCTGCAAAACAAGACATTCACATGGGAAAGGACAGCTACAAGGAACGCAGATTAACCCAACAGGAGAGTGAAACGATTTTTAGAAGTAGAAATAACAACGTACGTTTCTTTTTCTTTTGCACATTGGTAATATTTATGTTGTGATTGACACGACTACCAAAGGATACCTGTAGAACAGGGGTAGTCAACCTTGGCTCTTTTATGACTCGTGGACTTCAATTCCCAGAATTCCTGAGCCAGCTTAGCTGACTCAGGAATTCTGGGAGTTGAAGTCCACAAGTCATAAAAGAGCCAAGGTTGACTACCCCTGCTGTAGAATATAGAAGTTTTCTACTTTAGGGTAACAGCCCTTTCAGCCCTGAAGCATTCTAATCTATTTGCTTCCTATATACAGGAAGTCCCTCAACTTACAACCACCACTGAGTTCAACACTTCTGCTGCTAAGTGACTTAGTTGTTAAGTGACTTTTATCCCATTTTACGACCTTTCTCGTCACAGTTGCAAAGTGAATCACTGCAGCTGTTAAGTTAGTAACACAGTTGTTAACTGAATCTGGCTTCCCCAACTGACTTTGCTTGTCAGAAGGTCGCAAAAGGTGATCAAATGACCCCGGGACACTGCAACTGTCATAAATATGAGTTAGTTGCCAAGTATCACATACCCATGGAGATGTCTATGGAGGTTCTATGGGGACACAGGGCAGAAAACATCCTGCAGCCAAGAAGGCTCCACAGACATTTGCACTACTCAGGTGACCCTGAGGACACAGGTAAACCTCTCTAAAAGAATGCAAACGACCAGCTGTCTGCAAGGAGTATAAATCCTTCCACTCCCCACCATTCCAGTTAGAGCGGAAGAATCGTCTTGGATAAGAGGCGAAACGTCTTCGAAGAAAAACAAGAAAGTCCAGTTGCCTCCAGAAAAAGCACCTTTGGGATAACCATGGAGATGTAGCAATGATCCTAATAGTGAAAAATGGTTATAATTCACTTTTTTTCAGTGCTGCTGTAATTTCAAACAGTCACAAAAGGAACTACCTGTAATCTATTAGTTAACTGTGAAAAACAGGGGTGGGGGCGTGGGGGTGGTCTAGGTAAGCCACAATGTTTTCATTTTTGTCTTATAATGCTAAGCAAATGGGGTCAGTGAGCAAATGATAATAAGGCAATAAAACTTAGTTTGAAGCTGTGGTTTGTTTTTGATGTACTGATTACAAATGTGCCTCGGAGTAATATGTTAATAGGTACACATGGTTCATTTAGAGTATTTTAGCTTATTCCTAGTTTTTATATGTCCCTTGAGCTTGTAATCACTCCCCAGGCAAAGGAAGAGTCACTGAAATAGTACAGAAAGCAAATTACAAATTGACCAAATAACTCATAATTATTGTGTTGATCCATTAAACTGCCTGTGGTTTATTTACCCAATTAAGATAAAAAATAAATAATGCTGTAAGGGGAGACCTGGACATGAAATGTAGGGTTACATGCCACTCAGCCAAGATCTGTTCCATATCAGTTTTATGTTGTAGTTGAGTTGGACGTCTGTTGTATTACCTGTCTTCATTTTTTTTAAAAAAAGGAAAAATCACAAGCACTAGAATACACTTCTGTTTTTTTGCCTAATTTTCTTTAGTAAATCTATTTACATGTAAAACTTCCCAATACTGTATGTAATTTTAATGGATGTCTTTTGTCCTCATGGTTGTACAGGTAATCCTTCACTTACAGCAGTTCATTTAATGACCATTCAAAGTTCACAACAGCACTGACAAAAGTGACTTATGACTCTTCTTCACGCTTATGATGACTGCGGCCTCCCTACGGGCATGTGAATACAATTCAGACGCTTGGCAACTGAGTCACATTTATGACAGTAAAATGAGGCAAAACTCACTTAACAAATGTCTCACTTAGCAACAGAAATTTTGGGTTCAGTTGTGGTCGTAAGTCGAGGACTACCTGTATTGCACATGTATTGCAAAATCTCAAGCACAGGGCAATTGAATAAATAATTGTGCACCTATCTGCAGAGAAGCTCCGGATCTGGGAATAAAATTAGCTTCTTGAAAAATACAGGCTAACCAACAATCTACGATCTTTTCATGACGTTCCGCTTTTTAAAACTGTTGTTTCGTGAACTGACTCTCATGAATGGTTTTTAACATCAGGGAAGACATATAAAATGTTGCATGCCCTTGAGTGTACAACACAATTCCCACCTTGTGTTATGGAATTAGCTTTTCTTTGTTATCGGCTTTTTTTTAAAAAAAAAACCCTCAATTTTACCAATCCACTCTTGTCAGCTATGTTTTACACTGCAGATGCTAATAGGTGAATGAATAATTAGGCAGCAGCTTCCCAGCTGGCATGAAGTTCCCCTTTGTCAAACCTATTTTTCTTTATCATAAAACTGTCATAGAGAAACCATTTCACCATCAAATATCTGTTTAGAAAAGGGCACAACACAATTGTCAGTACTGTGACAGATGCAGAAGATGGCCACAGGGAAAGGGGGAAAAAAACAGCTTTAAAAAAAAAAAAGAATGAGAATTGGAATTTGGAAAATCATTTCTGTTCTAAACTGCTTTCAGTTCAGCAGTTTATTTGCACCTCTCTGATAACATCAGAGGCAAATGGAATTATGTGGAAAATTCTGGATTATGCTTCACATCATTTACTGCCAGTTACAAGAAAAAGGGTAATGGAGCAAAGAGAGAAAAACAGAACACTGTACGCTGTTAGCTGACTTTTAAAAATAGGTTGGTTTTTTTGTTGTTGTTGTTGTTTTCAAACCTAAGAAGAAATATTGAGATAAGGCTTACTGGGAAGTTAGCAAAGTCAACTATTTAAACTTCCCTATT